TATATTAGATGTAAAATGTTATTTGATGTATAAATTTACATATTTTATTCCATTTTAAATACAGTCGATTGTTTACTATTAAAATTTAGTTTCTAACTGTAAAATATAAAGTGGATATACCTTCTTATAAAGTGGGTATTCAGTGCACGTGACATGCATTTCTGCCTAGCAGCTACCTGTTGGTTCAGACAGAACTTTACCATAGTAAATGACACTTCGCATCCATTACTTGAAAATATATTTGCATAAAGTTTACTACTAAGTTAGTTAGTAGACCATGTTTTCTTAACGTAATACTTGTCCAGAACTGATATTCCATATATAGTATGTGGCAAGGGTAGTAATGAACAACTAATCTCAATTATCATACAGTAGTATGTATATTAAACATGCCTTGGTTGTCTTCTATCACAGAAAAAAACAGTAAGAACAAAAACAGAGTTTTCACCGATAAAATTGTTTACTTCCATTGTTTCCAATCTGCAAATAATATTGCTCCTTATAATTTTATAAATGAACTAAAGAAGAATTAAACTAAAAGCAAAAAAAAAATGTACTGGAAGAAATGACATAACACGACATAACTTTTGACATATACCCACCCCACAGTTAGCTGACAACACGGAATGAAACCACTGTTGTAAACTTCACACATAATGACCACTCCTTTCCTACCAACATTAAAGATCATTGCTCTGCACACAGTGCTAGAGCTTTAACTTTATTCCCTTCTTGAGGCCTGCGCGAATGCCCGTGTGCTCGCCACCATACTTCTGCATCTCAGTGCGTGCCATCTGTACCTGAAAATGAGATAAATGGAGCCGATTGAAGTTGAGAACAACCCAGAACACACATTGAGAAACTCGTGCGTGAGTTAACCTTCCCACTTTGCTGATCTATTATTCTTTATTCTCTTCGCCTCCCTATTACTCTTCCTCTATTTTAGCATCTCCCACCCACAACTCTCAATCGCTCATTCAGTAAAACCTCAGCAACACATTGCTTTACTTGTCGGGATGCCTCCTATTCTCATAAAGAGAGAGAGAGGGGGGAAATGCCGGGACTTTGTGCTCACCTGTCCCTTCCTCCTGACAAGAGCCTTACGGTACTTCTCTTTGTGCTTTACACGTGGGTTTCGCTGCTCCTTCTTCCGCTTCGGTGTCAAGCCCTTGTTCTTCATGATCTATTAAGTTGACAGCAAAAAATAAGTCGTGTCTCAGACGGTCATTTAACGTTAGCACCCAACTGTATTAGTTCAGCGTAACAATATTTCATGTAATATGTATAGCAGGTGAGAGGAAATGCAGGTTTAAGAGAGGGCATGTTTAAAATAAATGAAGTGAGTGATAGTGTGATTGTTTACAATGAAGAAGGCAGGTGAGCTAACACTAACCTGGTAGTTGATTGGACGTTTCATGTCTTCTTCATCTACATCTCCAACCTCATGCTCTCCTTCTTCTCCATCCTCCCGTCTTTGTTTTGCTTCAGTTACATCAACGTTATCTTCTTCTGCAATAAATGCCCTTTTCCTTCCCTAATAAAATGCAATGTTAGAATAAAATATATGTACAGTACCATAACTTTGTTGAAATGTATTAAATCAATAGCTATTAATTCAGTCGATTAAACAGTAAATTAGGCATGGAGTGCTTTAATCATGTCGTCAGCACTATTTAATCAATCGGATTGGTCGACTGTAGTAGCTGAGATATGCTCACATAATATATGAGAACAGCATACCAAATGTAAGTATTACTTGCACAAGCCTGTTGCCAGTTTACACACCCAAGTTCTGCCTCCAGTTGCGAATTGTGCCTCAAAGTCGTCCTGCTTGTTTGAACTGTCCAGCAGTGCTTCAGTCCTCTTTTTGCTTGCAACTTGAGCCTTGAACTGAACCCTCTTATCTCGTTTTGGCTTCGCTGATGCTGCTGCCACTGCTGAACAAATAATCAGGGAAAAAATTACTTTTTTTTCACGGGAGCTCTTTTTCAAGTCTGTGGGAAAAATAGCTCTTGTCAAACATTTTACGGGAGCTATTTTGAGCCTTACGGGAGCGATTTCGAAGGTTTGAAAAGCGAATCGCTCATCGCTCCCGTGTATTTTTTACCCTGCAAATAATTCAAACTATCATGGAAGTGACTCATCTCTCAACAGTGCTCGCAAATTGGTCCATTTGTTTAGTAGTTGAAATTAGAAGTTGAAAACATTTAAATGCGTGACAAAGCTCGCAGACTCAACAAGGAGGGCAAATATACGTTTCCTCCGTACCGACTGGTATTTCGCTGCTAGATAACTCTGTCACGGGAATGTGCTCTCCATTTGCGAGTCTTTTGAGAATGTCATCGATTTCTGGTTTCAGCACTTCATCTGCGGGCACCATCTGGTTGATCAACTGAAATAAACCAACAATATTAAAAATTAAGTGTCACATGGGACCATTACCTTGTATTCACATGCAATCTGATAGCATGCTATCTTCCATTTCTAGGGAACTGTACCGTGTAGATATTCAAAACAAGTGCAGTGGAGCGACAGCGCTCATCTCACGTCTACTGCGGTGACTCTGTGTGAGTGGTGGGATTGCTAGCGTAAAACCCTGTTAGTCCTCAAATGCTGTTTCACATACGCGCCGAAACAGTGCAGGCACAGGATGGTATCGAGGACACCTTCTCTCGAAGGAATGTCCCGTTGGGATCGTTATCAAAGTTTTTTTGCCACCGAGATGGCGCGTACGTGTTAAGTGTCCTTCAATTAAAGATGTAAGCTTCCCCCATCACTACGTAGTAGGCAACAACTTAGTGTTGCAAGACAGAATAGGTAAGCACTCATGCCATTTACCTACGCAAAGCCTACAGCCTGAAATAAGAGCTGCCACCTGTAACTAATTAACGCAGGAAAAAAACTAGCACAGACTATCACCACCAGCATGCGCTGGCAGTGGCATAAGTTTTACCTGGTAACACACTGACAGTACAGAATGCCATAGAAAGTTATATGATTTAAGAGCCTAACCTTTTCAACCAACATTTAGCTTTTGAAAATTTCAAATATGACTAATTGTAGCCTCATACGTCCAGGCAGTATTAGATTCTACTAACGAAACCCGGCAGTCCAAATCTTTCTAACCAGTAAACAAATCCATGTGTGTAACCCTCCTCTTTGAAGGGTGCGAAAAGCGTTTCATCCAACATTTACTCTTCGGCAATGTCAGCGGAAAAGCTACATTTCATGGTCGCTTTCAATAAGCGGCATAAAAATGGCTAGGTCACCGCTGAAACAAAAAGTTTTCACAAATCGCTCCGTCAGACCATGTCCATCAGAAAATGGTCTAAAAAACTTCCCTACATCCCCCATTGACCTTTGACACTGTGACCTCCAATTTCGCACAGTGATGGCTTTGTCCCATCGACAAACTGCTATACATCGAGCTATCACGAGGGCCTAGTCGACCGTTTAGATTTGTGCGCAATTCTGCATTTCCTCCCTATACCCTTAAGTTAAGGAGGGAATGCTCCCCTTCTTTACACCCTCTTGACCTTTGACCCCAGCTTTCGACATCGCAACTCATTTTCGATTGCCCGCCTCGCCCCCCACGTCCCGACTTTCCGAAACTCCGTATGTCGAGCCTTATTAGATTTGTGCCAAACTGTTGAAGAACGCACGACGCTCGCTCATGCGATTCTACAAGCTGCATCTGACTATGTCAGATGAGCTAAAAAATACAATCATGAGGGTAAATGGAGTTCATCCAGACTGTTTTCTAACATCGTTGTAAAACACCACGTTCCACATGTACATCATGAAAATATAACCAAACCATTCCACACGTGCTAAGAAAAAAGTTGAAATAAGTAGTGTTTACTCATATTAATCACACCCATAGTGATAAAAATTAAATTTGGATCGAAGGAGACTATGCCTCCCTACAATCCGATTATCGCTGGTACCTACATTTCTGTATGTGACAAGTCGCTTCACAACTGGATGGTTGTGGATTGGAGTCCTCTTAGCCTTTAGGACAAGGTAGAAGCAAATGTTGATGCAGTAACTGGGGAAAAACAGGAGATTTTCCTGATAAATATAACACATATAAATGGAAAATACAATGACGACTTGAACAGCTGCTATAAGCTGCTGCTGTAGAATTTTACTTTAACATGTATTTGCTCTAAATAATGCTTATAATGACATTACAAAACATACTTAAGGTACAGGTTATATTTGGCATTAATATAGAGTGCCCCATTCCCCGGTGGGACCTTTCTGGACTGGGCAAGGTCATACAGCGGCTGCAGTACATCCTTGAGTTCTTGCATCTGTAATATACAAGAAAAACAAAAACGACTAGGCTAGCTGTGCTAATTCTAAAAGGACATGCATTACGCAAAGTATGAACCAGAAACTGAACCATGTGCTAGCCTCTTCAGAAAGGATGCTATTTTTATTCTCACATACCTTACTCCTGAAGTCATCAATTAGACCTAGTAGTTCAGGAGAGTCTCTCTTGAGCAACTAGAAAAGATACAGAAGCTAACTTAAAACAAGCGCCACAGAGTGACAGTGCTCATCTGAGAACTGCTGCTCTGCTGATAAACTCTAAATGGCCACAAAACTGTGTCTAGGCATGCTGTCACAGCAACATACTCGTCGTAGTTAGTCTTCATTCACCCACCTCGAGCTTCTCTTTTTTGGACAATTTTGAAAGATCAACCTCAATCTTCTCCTCCTCGTCGCCAGGCACCCCTTCGTCCTTCACAGCTTCTGGCTGTACCTGATTTACAGGAAAATGTGATTACATTGACTTTTCAATTGTCACCAATATTTTCTTGCGAAAAGATGCTAGCACTGTGGACTTGAGACTATTACACGCGCATGCAAAGCATCACTTGAAGGTCGTTGCTAAAGGTGAAAGCAGTAAATGGAATCAAACGAGGAGCGTGCAACGTACAACGATAACGAACCTTAAACAGATCGAGTCCAAAGTCCTGTTCATCCATCTGCTCAGCCATCTTCCTCTGCAAGAAGAGCGCTTCCTCCTCCTCGAGTCTCGCAGCCTCCTCTTCCGATTCTGAAACAAGCATGAACATTCACAGCATAAGATTGAGACTCAGCAATTGTCACCTCAATATTCATAATCTTGATAACCTTAGATTTAAGCATAGACTTGAAAGGGGCTAGGTGATCAAAAAAGACAAGACCGTCCATTCTAGGCAATCCTTAATTCATGTCATATTTTTAGCTGCACTTACTTGAGCATGGTTCAATGTGCATGCATTCATAGGTGGGTGGGTCGATCAACAAACACCTTTTGCCATTTTCTACACAGAGAGGATCATTGCATACATCTACTAGGCAAACAGATCATGAGGCAGGAAAATGGAGTCACTCACCTCCCTCATCGGCATCGATATTGTCAGCATTGTAGTAGGTCGATTTCTTGCGTCCCCACGCTTCTCTGCTGGGTACGTCTGAAACAGTTAAATGACATCAACACGAATATAAGATACTATTCGATTTAACATCTGGATTCCTAGCTGAAGGTAAGCATGCTCATTTCAGGCACTGTTGCAAGTTCACACATCTATGATCTGCGTAGTTCAATGGGTAATATGTGAGAAAGCAACAAGGCATGCATGAATATAGGCGCACACTAGCAAGCGCCAATTTCGCAAAAGCTAGAGATGCAATACAGTCAGGGTATTATATCTACAGCAAATACATCAAGCCCCGCTAGCCAGCGCAATGCCTCCCACTTGCATCATACTTACCGGCATCTCCTGTGTCGTCCATGTCGCTGTCGCCGACTCCTCTATCTTGTATGTTGTCCTCGTCTTCTGCCCCACTAGAATCATCTTCGTCTGAATCCGACTCAACACCCAATACGGACTCCTGGATGCAGAAACACGAACAGCATAGAGCCTATGAGTGTCAGTACTATCTGTGCTATATCTGCTGTTAAGAATCGGTTATACTAT